ACGGGCAGGGCAAAGGACTGGGAGAGCTTGCGAGCCGGGGATTCCACGAAGGCTTGTCCGTTCTTGGCGTTGTAATACTTCACAAACAGTTCCCAGGGGTGCATCGTCTGCGGCGACGAGGTGAACGCAGGAATCAAGCACGCGATGGGTGCCAGGACCAGGCTCATTCCTTGAGATGGGGCGTAGAGCCCGTGAGCCATCAGGTCTCTCAAAGCAACAGTCAGCTCCTTCCGCACAGCCAGGGTCAGCTCATCTCTGCCTCCTAAGGGAATGTCCTGCAGATCTGAGGAGCTGATGACGTGGTCTTGCTGCTGGTGTTTCACAGCGAGCTGCCTCACTCGCTCTACTGACAACTCCAGCTTCCTAATTAAGGGGGAATAGTCCTTGCTGGCTTGGTCCTTCTGCCAGAGGGTGCGAGGAATCTGACCGGTAGCACAACCAAACTGACTGACAGCAAATATCTGTAGCACAGCGAGCATGCGACGCATGAGCTGCAGGCCTGTTTCTCGCATCTTTCTTGCATCTTCGGGGTTCACTGGTCAGGTCATAAAAGAGAAAAAAATACTCTCATTAAGTAAGCAACAGTGTTGCCCTTTTGTACCCACAAGGGGAGTGCATGTCTGCTCCTCTGCCACGGATTCTACTCCTCCTCCTCCGGAGCCTTCATCACTATGACTGATGCTGCTTTTTTTACTTTCAAAGCACTGAAACCAACCAGAAAAGCAAACATTTGTGTGGCTTGTTCTTTACGTTCAGGTCACCTTACAGAGAAGAAATTCTACAGCAGCTCTCCTACCTGGTAGATGCTTCAGATTACAAAAGGTAAAGGTATTGCAGTAGTTCCTCTAGTATACTGTTCTAGCTCCAATAAGTCTCAAGTTACAGCGAATGCTAGATCCATCCAGCTCGCTGTATCTGCTCTCAGAGCTAAGTACTCAAAGAGCATTAATTACAGCACAGCCCAAGAGCACGTAAGAGACAAGGCTGCTCAGTCTCTCTGCGTTTTGCACTAAGTATCAGATGTCCCTTCTATTCCTGACCTTCACTGAGGACCAATCCCACCCTCTGTGCCACATGCTCAGGTTCTGTGACTACTCCAATGATCCCCTGAAGGAGGGTGGAGGAACCTGGCTCGGGCCTTCTGTCAGTGGGAGTAGGGAGCACAGAAACCAACTGCCACAGAAAAACCTAGGCAGCTTAGCGTGCCTGGATGCTGGTTCACACTTGCTGAACCTCAGGTGAGTGACAGCAGGAGCAGAACCCACCTCTGTTTCCAGACGTCCGTGTACTTGGTTTGTAGGAGCCACCACCGTCTTTTCTGCCTGCACATTCACAGTGCCCATCTTCCGCCTTACCAGAGCTTCCAACTTCATCTAGAATGAGAATTTCACACTATTATTTCACACTCGTGAGTTTAAGCTGGGTATCCCAAGTATCAATATTCCTTAGACCTCTCTGTGCCTTTTTTGTCAGTCTCTCGTTCTCCCCACCACCAGTTCAGAGAGACCTGTACTCCCCCGTGACCCAGAAATCCTTCCTGCATCCCAAAATCCGGGACCTCCCTCCTCGTGACTCTGTCAGGGAATTACAAAGCAATTCAATCTACCCATCTGAAAACTGAGCACTGACCCTGAATGAAGCTGATGAACATTTCAAGGTCCCTTATCTGTGTCTTCAGTTGTTCCACCAGCTGCTCCTTTACCCGGGCTGGATTGACAATCTGTGCGATGGCAGCATCCACACGCTCTCGCAGTTCCTCTGGAGAGAGCGTTGCGATATCTTCGCTCAAGTCCATGTCCAGTTTCTTTATCAACTCATTTATAATCATCTGCAAAACACGCATTAGTAGCACGATCTCGCCATGCGGCACTGCCGCCCACAAGCTTCACAATACTCCACCTCAGAAACAGGCCAACTCTACTGCACATAGAAAACTGCAAGACACGGGACAGGTTTACACATGCAGACGGACAAATGATACTCTAATACAGCTGCTGGCCAGAAATAAGGACTGACCAACTCCCACAGCCTCTTACAAGAGGCTCGCAAATGCTAAGAAACACAGGCAGAAGGACTCTGTGAGCCTCACCCGTTGTCTTTCCATAACCACAGACTGCGGCAGCGAGTCATAGCTGCCCTCCTGATAAGCGAACGTCTCCAGGTCATCCAGCTGCGTCTTGAGCTGCAGGATCAGCTCTCTCTGCTTCTCCTTCTGAACCTCAGTTTGCTCTTGCTTCTCTTGATCACTCTGAAAAAAAGTGACCGGTAAATAAAATTGAAGATTTATTGTCATAGCAACAAGACGGTGGTACGAGTGCTTCCTTCAGCTTGTGCGCTTCACCAGTGA